TGTTTTTTCACATTTTGTCTCTCATAGTTGAGGTCTACCTATGATGTCAATTACAGGCCTCTCTCRTCTTTTTAAGTGGGAGAACTTGCACAATTGGTGACTGACTAAATACTTATTTTCCCCACTGTATATATCTACCCTACAGTGTTAAAGACTAATCTAAAAGTACAAAACAAGCAACATATTGAGTGAGGTGTGAGTTATTAGCATGCAGGATTAACGGTTCAAGTTTAAAGGTTGGCTCCCCATCAGGCTGTTGTTTGACAGTCGACGATAAAAGAGTTTAATGTTTCAAACACGACTTGGAAACCCCTTTGGGAGAAACTCCATGTGCGCAGCCTCGTCTGTACTGCAAACAGCGCAACAAAAACAGATTTGAACTACATGAAGGTAAAAAGAGGAAAYGAAGCAGTCATGAAGAAAATCTGCCAGATTTAAGCACATTGAAGCGTTCAGGGGTTCCACTCGGGTGATCCCGTGTGACACAGCTCAAGGGTCAAAGGTTAGGTCAAAGGAGCCTACTTGTTACTGAATCTACCAGCCGACCATGCCTCATAGGATGGGCACCATTTATGGCATCTCACCCCTGACCTTTAGCAGAAGGTCTCCACAGTATTCCCACAAAAGCAGAAGTGCACAGCTGACTGGAAGGTGAACTTTTACTTCAGGGAACAGACTAAGAGCACAGAGGCGTGACCTCCGTTACAACACGACACATAAGACTAAAGTGCAAAGTAGATGTCTGTACTTATTTCATGACAAAGATAAAATAAAAATCCAAACCTGTGTAGATTATGTAGTGTTTTTACTCTGGGAAAAACCAATAAGAAGTCCCCTCCAGAAATGTGACCATATACCAGCAGTCATTTAAAATCCACACGCCTAATAAAATAATAATTAACCTGTAACATCTTCCAGTCAAAGTGCACTGACACATGAACAATGCACACATGCTGGTAAGGTACGGCCTCCTGTGCTGACGGATTGTACTTCAAAGGAAGATCTTTTTACCAGCAGCTTTATGTAAACCCTGTTGTAACACCTATGACATCAGTCTRTAAAGATGGAGTTGCAGTGGTTATATTTTTCAACTATAATAGATAAGTTGTACATCATTCTTAGCAAGACTGGTTGTATTTTGAGGAAATGTCTACTTTGATGAGTAAAACCATATAAAAGGTACTATGATACAACACTGTTTTCTGATGGCCATTTTTGGGTAACTCTCAGAGACAGTATTGATTAAGGCAAGGGTGTCAAACTCATTWYCACAGAGGGACAGYTGTAATTAACTTAAATGTTTTGTGTTTAACTTCAAGTAAATATAAAACATCACGCTCCTCGTCTCATTGTAATGGTTGAGCACYGCTAACAATAACTGAGCTCTATGTGGTATTTCCTGCATAGAAACAGTGTTTAACACATCCTCTTAGAAACACTGAAAAGTACTGCATGTACGACTGACTCAATGTGGAATAAATACTACAGAGAAACTAGTGCGAGGGTTTTACTCACTCTTGAGTTGTGGTAGCTGCTGTCTTGAATTCTGAACGCTCCCATTTTCCACCAGGGAATTCACACTGAAGTTCCAGTTCGACCTGGAAAATTCCCACATCCCAGTACAACCAGGTCGCAGCGAAAAATAGCCGGTGAAATTGCAGTGAAATGGTGACTTTACACGGTGGCTGTCAGCTACTTTTGAACTGTCTCTCTTTGAGTTTGACGTGGTCTGAGGCATCTATTGTACAAGAATGCTTGTATTTTAACACTTTTTAGATTTGTTGTAAATAAAAAAGTTGCAGATTATGTTTAGTTTTCTGCTAGAAGTCAAAAGAAACCTCATTTTAATAGTTAAAACACAACTTACAAGTAAAAACTTTTTATTTAATCCACCTAGTTTTAGTAAATCTGGGACAGACATTGCAGATAATCTCAGTCAGATAACTCCAGGGTTGTTTTTTTCCCCCTATTTTGTTCTATTGTGCATGTTTCCATTATGATCTAAGCTTTTAGACGGGGTTTTGTTGTGCTGTCGTGGTCTCTTTGCCTCACTGTCAGCTGCACTGGTAGTCTCCATTATTCATCACCTCCACTCAGGGCTATTTTTACCCATTTTGCAGTGAGTCTATCTTTCTTCCTTCATCGGTTGCACCTGTCAACCCAGATACAGCTTTTACTACTCATGGTTTTGGCCAGCTTTTGCGTTTCTGACCTATTCCTGATCATTTCTGGTACCCAAGCACAAAACACCTATTTGTTCAACACCAACAGATTTTACAACCTGGAACCACACAAAACCCCCTGACAGTTTGAAAAATATCTTCGTATTGTGATTTTATTTTAAAACGTTTCTATTCTTGGGAGTTTCTATTATTTTTTTATTAGTCTTTACTCTTTAAAGGAAAAAAAAAACATTACACAGGTCTAAGATCTAATGAAGAGCAGAGTAAGCATTTTTCTTCCACCACGCTTTCTTACTGTACAAATGTGATTATTATACAGCATTTCTTCAGAGCTAAGCATTTTACATATGAATTTAAGCTACACACACTCTTGGCATCTTGCTTCTAAAATTACTCCCTGGAGTGAGAACTTCACTGAACAGCTCCCAAGATCAGTCGTGTCAGTTCACATCTACCGCCAAGTAAAAAGCTTTTAGAGYCTGCAGTTTTTAAAGTCATGTGCCAGCTATTTGTGGACAGAGATGAGTATAATGCTGATGTGTGTGCTACTTGGTGTATGTGTGGCATTATCCAAATTCAGCACTAATTAGTAATCTGACTGACTTGTGTAATGTGTCCTTAAAAAGATTTTTTTGTAAGTAATTACTAATGAAAACTTTGATTTTCACTGCAGCATATATATATATATATATATATATATATAATGTGTGTGTGTGAATATTTAGTTTCCTTATATGCAAAAATAAGTAAATAAATGCTGCTTTTCCCCCCCTTTCTAAATGAGTAGGATTGATCATTCTGTAATTAAATGACTAGTTTCTTGCACTCAGTTTAGCAGCGCCCTCTAGAGGAAGACAYACCACACAGCACAATCTAATCCTACTTTATCAGGCCTTCTTCCAGGACATTGAACCATCTTTTCTGAAGGAGCCAGTTACTGAAGAACATTTTCTACTGTTGCTACATAAGCAAGTGCAGGATAGACTGTGCAGTCTGTTGTGCTTTAAATACACTTCTTTTGCCTGTGGTGAAACAGGTCAACAAAAATTTAAACCACTTGTATTTTCTGGAGAATAACTGGTGTCCCTGTTTAAAGACTTCAGACTAACAGCATCTTATGAAATGCTTGCCATTTGTGACGATTGTCAGATAAGTCCCACAGCTCGACATCACTTAATATAATTGTAATTTTTTATTATCTGGAATAAAAGCCAAACATTTGCAATTTTGCAGTCAAGTTTTTTTTTTATATTGCATGCAATTTTGTAATAAATCTGCAGATTTCATTCTGAAATGAATGTATTTCTGCATACCAAATTTACTTCATGGTGCGGTCTTTAATTTGCCATAGCACAGAAAAAAGTCTTTAATTGCTGAAATGTTAAAGTGTATAATGCGTCAAACCACAAAGTGAATATCAAATGTTGGGTTGAAGAAAACTGAATGCGCAAAATCATGAATTTGCACAATGTCATTTTAAGATCACTCTGTAGGAAGTGTAACTATGTTATTCACCGCCTGTGTCCCCTCCCACCAATGTAAGCCCTACAAATAAAAACAAACACACGAGTTTGTTGAACTACTTTACTTCAAGAGAATAAATCTGTAAATTCTTTGTGCGTTAGCAATTCTTCAGGACCAAAGCTAASTGGTAGACATCTAGACCTCAATTAACATCTGTCACTAGGAACGGCCATGGCAGAAAACGACAACTTCTTTATCTAGTCATAAAAACTCACAAGTATTGAAAACGACAAGAACAGTAATGTCATTTAGCTACGTTGGTCTCCAATTGCAGTGGGGAAGAATAATTTCCAGTGCTCGATATGACGGCGTTTACTGGGCAATGCCAATAACTCCACAGGCTAGACGTCCGCCAGCGTTACCAGTCTTCAGGCTCTCTTCATTTCCTCCTTTTCCTAGATCGTCTGTCTTCTCGTGGATCTAACAAAACAGGTTTCATAGATTTTATTTATTTTTTTACAAAGTAATTTTAGGCTTAAACCAAGTGTCACAAATACATTAAAAGTAGTTAAAAATAACATTTTTCCCCTCTTACCACCATGGTTCTGCCAATGATAGAATGAGGGCCAGAGAGTTTGATGAAAGAGTCTTCAATGTTTATCTTGGCGATGTTGTTTTCTCCTGCCGTCACATTTCCCAGGTCTCCAACATGTCTAAAAGTAAATTAAATAAATAAATAAATACATAAATAAATAAATTTGATGTATGATATATGAAAAGCAGATGCTTTWAAACTGTAAACAAGATGGTGAATACAAGTGTGAAAAAATATTTTTTGTGGACTGCCTGCTTTCTCTTACATCAAAACTACTGACTTACAATCCTGTCAGTTCAGATCCAAACATAACAATTTTACCAGTTTCTAGATGAACAGCTGGGTAAGTGCCAGTGTTGTAAAACAAATCTCATTTCCTGCACTTTTTTAATATTTACTTGACGTTTTTTTTTTTTCTTTTGCTGCACTATTTGTTTTTCCAATGCTGAGAGTTCAGTAGAGTGATTAAAAACCTTGGCCTTAGATTAGTTGTGTAATTTGTTCTGGCACTGCTTATTTTTAAGGCCACATATGCTTCATTGACCTTGTCTGATCATTCAAGTAATACAGTATGATGGTTTTGCTGTAGTTGAACTGACATCTGCAGCACAAACACAAGCATGTAATCCGTCTTTGTTACGTTGTCACTTTTGGGGTAATATGCAAGGCTACAGGTGGACTACGACACCACGGGTTTTCTAAAAGGTTGTGTTTAGGCTGTCCACGAGAACCCAAAAATAGCGTTTAAAGGATTTGCTTACAAGCAAAGAAAGCACATTCATACTAGTTACTAATTACATGAAAAAAAAAGACATTTTTAATGCAAGATATTTTAATTATTCACACACTTTTGGTGTAATTGYGCACACGTGCAAAACTTTGAAAAGAAAAGAAAAACCAAACACCACCGATTTACCTTTCTTCATCAGTAGGACCGCCATGATTCTTGCTGAAGGGATTGTAGTGAGGTCCTGCACTAATGCACCCTGGTAATAGGAAAATATCAAAGCATTTAAGAGCCACTGTTAAAGTAGGCAATTAAAATTTCTGAAGACTGAAGAATGTATGAAACATGTACCCTGGCTTACCATTTGTGTTATCTCCAAAAGCATGGACATGGAAACCATGTTGACCAGGGGTAAGGCCACTGATTTCACCTGTCACCTTGACAGGAGCTGATTCATTCTGAAAAAGATGACAATCCACACCAGAATTGCTGTTAAAAAGGGCAAACACAAGGCAAATACAAAATAGTTTCCTGCATAATGTTGCCTTACAGTGCATATAATTCTCAATAAATGAGCTGTAATTTACAGAGCCCGMGAGGGGACATGGGGGATTTTTTTTTTGCTTTGCGTTCCCTCGCAATACCTTTGCGCTCCCACGCAAAAGTTTGTTTTGAATATGAACTGAATTAAATCAGACTTTTATTTTGAAATATCCGGTTACCAAAACAGGATGTGTCGCCACAAGTTCCTGAAATTGCTGCCACTGTTAAAATATCAGCATATGACATATTTCCATGCGTGGCTGTGCGATATATTCACTCTGATAATGGATTAAAGCAGTAGGCTAACTCGCTAATGGTAAACATGTGAGTTTGTAATAAACCGAGAGGCACAACAATGATAAACGACACTTTTGCGATGGAACACAGAAGGTATTGCGAGGTAAGGCAATACTTATTGCGTTGGAACGCAAAAGAAAAATAATCTCCCGTGTCCCCTCGCAGGCTCAGTGTTTCCCAAAGTTGGGGTCGGGACCCAAAGTGGGGTCCCGAAACATCAAGATGGGGTCCTGAAAAGATTTTATGAATTAATGACATTTTTGTCTTAGTTGTTACAAATGACTGAGGTTAAGTGTATTTAAAATGGATAAATGTAGTATAAAAATGTTGTTACTATGCCCATGTTTAGTTGACCTGATACAAATGTTTATCATCCAAAAATATCTGGGGGCACAGGTCTCTGCTACTGTTATTTTGTGGGTCAAAATCTGAAAAGTTTGGGAACCACTGAACTTTGGTTCCCAAAGTTGGGCTTCGGACCCAATTATGGGTCATGAAGCACCTTGGATAATCTCCAGAAATCAATTTAAAGGGTAATAAAATAATTGCTGATGTAATATTTTCCCTATAACTATTACAAAAACACAAAATAAGTATAAATAAGTATTTATATTTGTGTACAAGCTGTTTAGATTGTCAAAAAGCCTGTGTTTTTAGGGTTATTAACAAAGTTCGTGTACTCAGACCAGTAATATTTGGGGTCACAAGTTTTTGCCATGAATATTTTGTGGGTCAGAAGAGAAAAAGTTTGGGAACCACTGGTCTAGACCAAATAAATGACCGAAAACATGAAGGACGGCAGGCAATGACTCAGCAAAAGTCTGGGGCTGAATAGTTTTTTTTTTTTTGTCCTCCCCCACTTCCAACCACGTTCACGACGTTGCAACCTTGGTCTACTATCCGTCCAACTGGGGGGAAACAAAACAGGAGAAACTAGGGAGGCAATTATATCAGGGAAAGATCAGAGAATGTGACTGAAAACCTSAAGTTGTGCAACAATTTAGCCACGCATTAATCATTACCATATACAAGGCCGCGAAGGTTTAAAGGTTATGACTTGATAGTCTGAATTTCGGCCATGCCATTCTCTGGGTTACTTCACTCCTTTAACGATAAATAAAAACATGAATAGTTTTGGTGAGAAGTATTTGAATAAACGCGAAKTGTACGGTTTAACAGCGTGCAGTARGGTGCTAGTTTGCAGCAAAAAAGTACTGCGTAATCAGCAACTTTGCTACGATACGCCAATCAGTGATCAAGTTTGACAACCTCACTTAAACCGAATGTAGCTAACTAGTAAAAGCCTATCAAAAACTGAAATTTTCTGCGATCTGGACAACTGAGCTAGCTTAGCATACACTAAAAGCAGCGCTAAAAAGCGCGGTAAGCTAAAATGCTTTCTTCGTTTCCTCCTCGCCAAGGAAGTTGTTGTGCAAGCTAGCACAGCTTACCTCTTGCTCAAAGTGAACGGTGCCTTTCGTGTCTCCATCTCCTTTCAGCACACAAACTGCTTTCACCACCATCTTTGCTACTCAAGAAAACCGACTGTAGCATGCGCACTTCCAAGGATCAGCTATGYAAGTGCTGTAGGCGGGCTTACGCCCTGGACAGCCAATGAGAATGAAGCATAACAAAAAAACAGGTATTTTGATTGGTCAAGGAGAACAACTGGCAGCCAATCATGTACTTGTGCGCCACATGATAAACCAACTCATTTTGCCTTGTTTGTATTGCTAYATGTACTACCACGATTATATTCGTGCCATAAAAAAACTTTATTGTACTAATATACTTAATTACAACTCATCCAATATCAATTCCTTCAGCAGTCAGTGATTATGGGTAAGGCTTTTTAAATGTTTTAGTTTCTGACACTGAAACTAAAACTTACAATAGGTGCACCTTAGTTGTAGGTGCAAAATATACTCCAGTTTCTTTCATTTAAAGGAAAAGACAAACTATTTACAATAAACTTGAACCTAATTTAAAAATGAGCACATACAGCAATTTTTCACACTTTAGTTTTTATATGACAAAAATCAACTACCTGTAACTGAAATAAAAAATATAATCATGGTTTAGGCACAAGATAAAATAAGCAAAAAACTTGGTACAAAAATAGTTTATTAAAAACAATTTCCTATGGTTGAAATATTGAAGATTTTTACGTCCATGTCTTTCATAATTAAAAGAAATCATACAAACATCTGTCAATTTTCAAACCACTAGGAATTAAAAACGTTAAAGCAACAGGCCTCTGTTTATTTTTGTCAATGTTTTGTTTTTTTCTTTTTTTCCAGATAAACAAATCACAGATTATGAACAACTATTACAACAAGCCTTAAAGTTGTCAGTGATAAAAGCATATTTACAGAAGCGTCCTGGACAGAACCCTTCATTTCATTACTTCTACTCTCACCGTTTCATGTTACGTTGTGTGCACTTTCTGATTCTGGGCTTCAGACTAGAACAAAATCAAAATAGTTTAACCTTAATGAAACGGACAGATGTTTGTAAAAGAAAACATGTATGTACAGTTTGTATTTATTAATGATTAAAACTAATTTATGAATTTGACTGAGAAGGGAAATGGCTGATTTAAAAAACAATTACAAACACCTTAAAGTCAGCTTCATGGAACAAACTAAATCCTACAAGGGAAAGTTGGATGAAAAACAATACTAAAATATTTTTAGCTCTTTTGTCTGGTTTTGGAGCACCTCCTTTCAGAAAAGTAAAAAAATAAAAAATAAGAAGAAATAAAAAAACACTCATTAACATCCTTTTTTTCATAAATTGCTAAACCTTTGACCCAGGATATTATTTTTGTATATGGTTAATAATTCCCGGCTTGTCGCTTAATTT